GGGGGGGGGTGAGGAAGGGAGGACCCCCGCCCCCATCCAAGGCAAGCCCATAAGCCACGGCGCTTTGCACATGCACGCGAGATAGGGGCTTCTCCACTGGAGGCGGCATCGCTCCTGGACACAAAAGATGGCACACAAATTCCATCAGCTCGTCGTGCCTTGGCGGGAATCAATTAATTGGTCATCCGCTCGTCGTGCCTTGGCGGGAATCAATTAATTGGTCATCGGCTCGTCGTGCCTTGACTGAAATCCATCGATCTGCCATCGGCTCGTCGTGCCTTGTCTGAAATCCATCGATCTGCCATCGGCTCGTCGTGCCTCGGCGGGAATCCATTTATCTTGCATCGGCTCGTCGTGCTTTTTTTGACACAAATTGATTAGTCTTGGGACTTCGACTTGACAGGGTGTTCGAAGAGGGAGATTATTTTCAGAGGGATTAACGGTAATGCGCCCTTTACTGGATTTCCTTTTTAATTTAAACATTCACCTTTTTTAACCACACCTTGTTTATAACCTTGAACTTAATCCATTTCAGGAGGCTGTATTAGCTGTTTTGGTTTACCAAAATAGGGAAAGTTTAGGGTCTGGGCACGGATATACTTCCTTTGCATTATTTCTAATTCCCGGCGCTTCGGCCCTCGCCATGTTGGTAGTGTCCAACCCAGAGAGGGGATTTGCCCATCAGCCATGTTGGGGGTGGCCTGTCTCCGCGCAGGCGCGTGTCTAGAGCTACGAAAGTGAAGAGCAGGATTGGATTGCGGCATCTACAAAAGCCGCGGCAAGGCCAGAGCCAACCCCAGCGCCAGCCCGTGTCCCAGGAGGGGCGAACGGTCTCCGTCCCCGAATTGCCCAAAAGCGGGGGGTCGGGGGGGGGCGGCCGCAGCGTGCGGCCCGTGCGTGGGGTGGGCTTCGTGCAGCCGGGGGTGCCTGGTGTGGCTCTACGCTCAGCAACGGAGGCGTCAGCGGCGCGCCTGGAGTGCCCTCCTGTGGCCACTGCCGGGAATTGCGGCCTGAAGGCTGGAAAAATCTATTGGGCTAAACTACAGAAATGGCTTGAGGAAATGTTACAAAAATCTTTAATATTTAAACCTGAAGTCTTTTTATTAGGCATCGTGTCTGATGATGTTGACAAACAGGCAACCTATTTGATTTACGTGTAGTGATTACTGCAGCAAGGATTGTGTTTGCCCCACATTGGAGGAGTGAAGAACTACCTTCTGATGAACTGATGTTTAAAGATCCTGGATTGGGCTGAAATGGACAGGCTGACTTTGTCTCTGAAGGAGAAAGAGGATGCATACTTCTGTCAAGCCTGGAACTCTTTTTATTACTGGCTAGAGAAACGGGACTGTGTGCAGATTTGAATATGTCTATTGATTGGTATAAAAAAAATGGGGGGGGGCTGACCTGTCCTACCCCGCAGGGTCATTGTTGTGAGCATCAAATTGGGCCAAGCATTGTGCCAGCCGCCTTGAGTTCCTCACAAGAGAAAAAGGCATGGTACACATGGCATATACATGAGCCTCTGTCTGCACAAATTCTGCAACTCTCCTAATGGTGATCAATAATAAAACAGTAGCCTTTTTAGAGACTTCAAGGTCCAACAGCTATCGAGAAGACATGCCTGCCACTCAGTATCCCCCGCTTTCTGCAACAGCGCTGCAGATGCATTTGCACACTCAATGCAGGGCTTGTCTTGTTGGTCCCCGACCTTTCCTCTGGTATTTCATTCTATTTTTCTCCCACCATTTTAATGTATCATTGCTTTTAAGCATGATTTTATTGTGCATGGCTGGATGCTTTGCCATTTTATCAGTCCTTGTTGTAAAGCGCTAGTAACGGGGCAGGGTATAAAAGCTCACTCGTGACACCGGGCCTGTGTTGTGTAGTCCACAGGGTGGGCTGCAGCGGGCAACGAAACGGAGGGGCAGGAAGGCCCCTTCCTCCGGCTAGTGCCCTTTCTTGCCGTGCCGCAGTTAGAACATGTCACAGAGCTGACGCGGCAAAGTCAACACAATAGGAGCCCGGCAGGTGAGAGCAGGAAAATGAGGAGAGGTTCAGAATCAGCAACGCGTAGCACACAGGGAATCCGCAGTTTACAGCAGTCTTAAATCACAAGGTGACAGTAAACGCCTGAATCCAGTGCAAAATAAAGCAAGGNCAATAGGAGCCCGGCAGGTGAGAGCAGGAAAATGAGGAGGGGTTCAGAATCAGCAAAGCGTAGCACACAGGGAATCCGCAGTTTACAGCAGGGGCATGAGTCTTAAATCACAAGGTGACAGTAAACGCCTGAATCCAGTGCAAAATAAAGCAAGGCAAGTCGGCAGAGGTGGGATACTGCACTGACTTTTTATACTTACAGTTTAGGAGGAAGAGGTTAAAATAAAATCATTAACTAACAAGGGGCCATCCAGCCCCAAAGATATATTACAAGTTCAATCAATAAAAGCTGATTTGAAAAGGAAATGTTCAGCAACATTGAATTTACAACTTCGTTGTGAGGGGTCACCCCCGCCCCACGTCTGCCAAAGGCCACCCAAGCTCACAGTGCGAATGTATACAACTCGGCAGGCTCGGCGACGGTTCGTGCAGTGGCTCTCAGACACAGGGGCAAAGGCAGGACATCCCTGAGAATGACAGACCCTGATGCCAAGGGCACGGCTCTCTAATCTCACGAAGCTCGGCCGTTCCAGTGAAGCTCTAGTTACACCAGCTCAGACCACATCCGCACGTCCTACGCGGGCCTTTGTTTTTCTGGGTGGCTCCAAGGTGAGCGAGTTCATAGCCAATTTTAGGCCTCACCAGAAAACCTCACACCATGATTCAATACCAATTTCTAGAGATGCGGTGGCACAGATCGGATGGCCCGACAGAGCAGCTCCCCTTCAGATTTGAGATACGGGCCTGTTTTTCAGTGGGACAAGGTTTATTTCAGCGAGGGCTGAAGATTTCTACCTCAGGCAAAATGACACGAGAAGCTGTAAAAATAACCGCCGAGGAAAAATCAGCTCCAGAGCAGGCTTCACACCGTGACGTTCACTTGCTCGCTTTCAACGAGTCGCTCAGCAGGCTGCAAAGGAAGTCCCCGCGTTCATCCAGGAGGGCGGTGGGTCCTGTCTCGGACTCCATTCAGTTGCGATGCGACCCGTGGGTCCCCCGTTTAGACTGCGGGTTTCTCCTTCTCGGCACGGCTAGCGCCCCGCCGACGGTCCCACGCAGCTCCTTCCCGGCATCGGCCTCACGAATGACGGGACTGCCAGCATCTCCCTGAAAGGTCAAAACGTAAGAGGGGCGGTTAGTATTGTCCAGTCGTCATCAGCACAGGCTGCGCAAAATCACAGGCTGGACAGCGGTGGAGCAGGATCCCGAAGGGTGAGGACAATGAAGCGCGGTGGAAGCCTACGCATGTTAAGCCACACGTTTTCCCCCAGCCCGTCGCGGGACCATGGGAATTGCAGGCGCTCTTCCTGCCTGCACACGTGGGGGGCTGCGCCCAAAGCAATCTGGAGGATTGTGGCACTGCTGTT